GCCACTCTTCAGCCTGTGTTGTCCATCTCACTGAACTGCATTCCCAACCTGGCATTCCTTGTCCTCCTTACTAGCTTTATTTTCCCCAGAGCACAAAATTCCATTTGAGGCACTACATATTTAGTTTATCGTGCTTCTGATTTGTCTGTAACACTGGTATACAAGCTCCACAAGGGCAAGGATTTTGCTTATTTTTCTATTTCATTCGTTGCTTCCTTCTAGCACTGAACAGTATTTATCGAATTAATGAGGTCCCAGTCCTGCCATTTTTGACCTGTATGAATCTAGGAAAATCATTTACCCTCCCCAAATCTCACTCTCATCATTTTTAAGATGGAGATGCCGACAGTATTTCCTTTATGAGATTGTGATAAGGATTGACACAAAGGATTAAATGTTTTAGCACATGTTCTAGCGTGAAGTGTTTGACAAATGGTACCTAGTCTATAACTGGAACAGTATATTTACATCTGAATCCAAATTTACCTTAAGTCCATCCAACCACAAATTAATACTCGTTTGAGAATTTAGCCAATTGGCAACAAAATGAAAAATAAGTGCCTGTGATTTGCTTTCTTCCTATTGTTCCATCTAAAACCTAGCTCTGACTTTAAAAATACTGAATATACAATTGGTAGTGTTAATGTCTAAGTTTAGGCTCCAGAAGTGTAAAAAAATGTTAGTAAGATCATAATGCCAGTCAACAGGCAGCTCACATGCATAAAATGTATTAACCAAACTCAGTCCCATAGGTGACTGACAACGAGGCCTCACTTCTTTGTTACTGCGACCTCTTTCCCTCTTTTTCTCCTCTGTGGCCACAAATTCAGTTACTGCTAGGATCCCTGACTCCGTAGTTTCATAGTTCCAAGGTTGGGGTTTCTATTACCATAAAGGGAATAGAAAAAGAAATGTATCGCTATGTACCTTTATTTTCTCTCTGCTTTTAAAGGGAAAAAGAGAAGGTAGGGTCCCTTTGCCATTGTAGTTAGGATTAAAAACCCTTAAAAATTTCAAGGTGGAGCTGAGTACATTTTTCCACAACAACTGTGTTATATATAGTGGCTCAGTTTCACAAAGCAGAACACTTCAGCTATGATCTCTGGGCTGGTCCTGGGACCTAACCACTCAGTGTGATACTGTTTCAATGAAAAAGTGTGTTCAGAATTTCCAGTGATGAGTTATACAGGTTGATCCATAGTCAAGAATATAGCCCATCTGAAGGCTGAGGACTGCTTCCTCCTCTGTAGGTCTGACAGTTTCACAAAGGCATCACTGATGTTATGGGAAGTAGAGACATCAAGCTTCAGAGTTTTGTGCTTGGCAGTCAGGCACTACTTCATTACTCTTTGGATGGGACACCTGATGTCATTTCTAATACGAGGAAATGTGGCAGTCCACTTCAGAGAGTTCTGTGAGCGCCAAAGGGCCTGGTTATAATCACGATTTAGTTCTCTTCTTTCCCCTTTCACTGGTAATACTCCCAAAGTCTATTCCTTTTACTTGTTCATCTTCTTATGAGTCTATTTTTAACATGTCTATATTTTTTTTAAATGCAAAATTTTGCCAACAGAAACCAGAAGTTACCACTCATTTCTTCTGGCTGACACACCTTGTGTGCAAATGGCAGCTTCTCCCTCAGGAGGAAACTTTTCCATCCAATGAGCCTTTCGGCTTCCAACAATCTGAGCCAAACTGTGAAAATCAACAGCTTCACTTACCATCATGGAGACACTTTGGCAGTCGGGCTGCCGTGTAGTCAGCAGTGAGACTCTGAACTGATATTACCTAACCATCCCACATTTTCAGTTTGTCTCCTTGTAGTCATTATCCAAAATATACAAGCAAGAGCGGCTCACCTAACTGGAATGGCTTATGTTACCAATTATGGTTAACCATAAAGCACATAACTGAAAAGACAGCTCAGATTTATTGTCAGGAAGAAATCTGTGCCTAAAGTAGTCCACATGTTGAGCAGAAAGCTGTGTATGTCCTGGCTAACAGTGGAGCTTCTCTCCCTGACACCTCCAGCTTTCTTTACTCCCATTTTACTCCCACGCCTTTTCTAGGACAATAAGCTGTTGCTTTCCAGTCCTTACATCCTCTTGGATGAAACCCTTCTTTTCTATCATCTCTACGAATTTATCCTTACATATAATCTGATGCAGAGCTTCCCTGTAAAAGACCTCTGAATCACTTCTCTGGAGCAAAACAACCTGGGAGACAAGCAAGACAAGTGAACGGATCAGTTTGATCTTAGCTTGGTCCTGGAGAGACTCCGTACCTTCTCTACATCTTTCTTTAAAGTGTGATAAAGTGTATTTCTTGAGACGTGTCACAAAAGAATACTACCAGAATAGGCTAATATGTATAAAGTACCTGGAGTACTTGCAAAAAGTGTTCAGTGCTCTTTGAACATACTTTTTTAAGTGTATATTTAATGGCTACCTCCCCATTGAGTTATAGAAGATGGTTACCTGGCAAGTTATTAAATGATAGGTAATTTGTGAAGTACAGTGAACTTTCATTACCCAATGCTTATCTACATCTTCTTAAATAAATGGTGAAAAAGTATAATACATTGTGATATGAAACTGTGGAAATATACACAAGGAGAAGATAATGTCTAATACATATTTTTCCAATCCCCTATGACAGTGAAAGTAACCTGGAACGAGGGTACAAATTAACAATTCTCTGGACAATCAAAAATTGTTTGAATAAATTAGTAATTTTCTTTTGAAATAATTGCTTTAGCACCGTGAGCAGTATGAACTCTGGTAATTCCCAGGAAATATTTTGTTTCAGTGATAATTTGTTGCTTCACCTGTAACAGAGCCAAAGATTTACTGTAACTCAGGGAAAATAATATATCGAAAAAAAAGAGGCAATGACTCTCAAAAGTAGTACACTACCACTTACAAGCAAAGTCTGAAAACCATTAGTTCTAGGGTGAAGAAGACAAAACAGTAAAACTATGCAGAACAACCTCAATGCAATGTGGTAAATGCCACTACATTTTTATTGTTATCTTTAAAAGTGTTAAGAAATCTACTGGAAACTACATCTACAGCCCACAGGATATGAAGAAGAGCAACAAGGCTCCTGTCAGTAGATCTGTTATTTACTAAGTCAATGTCCCCACCTGGCACACAGGCCATATAGTTATTACATCATTTAAAGCAGGTAAGCTATTGTACCACACCAGCTACCAGAATTTTATGATTCATGGATTACAACAAGCAAAGAAAATAAAGCTGCATCATTTCCAAACACCTACCCATTCTCTTCACTCCACACACGAAGCTTCCACATAGCCAAAGAGCCGGTTTGCATGCGGGCATGTTTTGTTATTCCATGTGCATGCTCAGTTTTTAAAGGGCTATGATGTGGGGACCAGTCAACTCACCCCACTCCTTTCTCAAAAGAGTAAAAAAAATTTAGAAAAATCAGTAAAAAATAAAGCGTAGGAATTAGTTCAAAAATCAATTATCTAGCTATGGTTTGCTTTTATAGGTTATTGTTCAAGTACTGACCACTTAACTGCCTAATTCATGAAATCTCACAATCACTCTAAGGCCTAGTAGTAAATACACTTCCTACTATCTTCTTTCGTGATCAATATGAACAGCCTAGGGGAAAAGTAAAATTCACTCAAACCTCTTTGTTAAACCCATTTGCCAGTGCTGGGGGGAGGGAGGGGGGTTCCTTCCGTGGGAAATGTAAAAGGATCCACGTAAAAGATGCCACCTTCGGGCTGTGCGCCCCGGAAGCAACCCGACATCTCGGGATAACGAACAGGCCCACTTTTCCTCAGGCAGTTAGGGACACAGTTCTGATAGAAGCCTTAAGGGCACAAACCCAGAGAATGTCCTCACAGCCAGGCCCGGCAGTTTCCAAAGGCCCGTCCCAGAGCCCGGCTGTGGGCGCGGGAGCACGGGAGGCGGGCGGGGGCGCTTTTCCTACAGCGTCCCCGGGGACGCGCCGGTCGCGTCTCCAGCAGTCTGCGCGGTGCCTGTCTCCCGCTAGTCCTGCGACTGCGTGCCGAGCTGCACACGCGCCGAGCCTCCGGGTCTGATGAACTCACACCCGTCCCGTGACCGTCTGAGGACCAGGTACGGGCTCGGCCTGTCCAGGCCTGCCGCTGGTGTGAGACGCAGCTCGGCAAGCTGGAACGATAGCTGCGTCCCCCGAGACCCGACCCAGCCCGGCCGCTTCCGCAGCGCGCCCCCTGCAGCCCCAGCGCGAGAGCCAACGTCCCAAGCCCCCGTCCAGGCTCCAATGTGCAACTCCTTCGGGACAGGGCCACCCAGGGTGAGACGAGGCGAAGGGCGGGAAGCCCCGGACTGCAGGAGCGGGGGGCTTAGCGCTCGGGCCCACGCATCACCCCAGGGAGGCGCGGGCTGGGCTCGCGGGACCGGGCTCGGTGGGCTGGGTGCTCCGCTAACAAAGGGCGTCCGGGGGGCCACACACCAGCCCGGCTGGACTGTGCACCTACTACCGCGCCCCCACGTTCCGGGCAAACTTCCCAGGAAGGACGCCCAAGTGGGGCGAACCGCCCGGGGAGGCTGGGCTCGGGGAGGGGCGGGGGCGCGGGCGGCTCGGCCGCGCGGACCCCTCCCCGCCAGCTGTTGGCGGATGAGGTCATCGCCCCCATCAGGCTGCCCCGCGGTCCTGCCCTCCCGCGAGGGGGCACGGTGAGGTGTGGGACTGGTCGCAGAAGCCACAGCAGTAGGAGGGCTCACGCGTGGCGGCAAAGCATCCTCTCCAGCCCCCAACAGTTAAAATGATGTGGAAAAGTCCCATCTGGAGCTCAGCTTTCCGCCGTCTGTGCCCAGATCGGGCGAGCGGGAGGGCGGGGCTCAGCGGGGGCCGTGGGGGCCGTGGAGCCTCTGCCCGGCGCCCACCCGGACCCCCGCTCCTCCCGCTTCCCCCGGCGCTCCGCGCTCTCCGCCCTCAGACTCCAGCTCCTCCCCGCGGCGCCCCGTCCTAGGGTCTACCTCGGTGTCGAGGCCGCGGCCCCGCCAGCTGCTCCGATCCGCGATCCGACGGAGCCGTGCACGCTGCGGGCTCCGGGGTGCGCGGCCGCCCAGGTACCGGGCTATATAGCGAGCGCCACGCCGCCGGTGACTCAGGGAGACTCGGACGCCGCAGCCGCGACCTTCAAAATAAGAGTCCGGGCCTGGTTGCGAGGCCGGCCGAGCGGAGGAGGGGAGGCGTGGCTGGGGCCTGGGAAGCAGCCCCCAGGTTGGCGGGGTCCCCCGCCCCCTTCTCCTAACCGTGTCCTTCCAGGATGCCGTCAAGTTATAAATCGGGCTTCCCCAGAGCTTTCGGGAAGAATGGATAACAGGAAAGAATTTTTCACTTTCCTAAGCCAATAGAGATGTTGGCTGCATGTTATGGATGATGCTATTTTTTACAGACTAAAAAGAGGTGTGCAGTATGAATGCGACCCCGGGGCATGGTAAGAGAAAGGAATGGGAGCTGTGGATGGAATAGGAACAGCATTAAAGAATAAAATTGGGGGGCTGGGGATGGGGTGGGGCCAACCCCTGCCTGCAGACGTGCATGTCTGTGTAAAATGGTTGTAGAACACAAGTCCTGTCACGCCTGGCCTGGTGGCACAGGTCGGTCTGGGATCCCAGCGCTCTGGGAGGCTGAGGCAGGAGGATTGAGTCCAGTCAGCACGACTCAGCAATTTAGCGAGACCCTGTCTCAAAATAAAAAAATGAAAAAGGGGGTTTGCTAGGATGTAGCTCAGTGAGAAGGCTCTCGGTTCAATCTTCAGTACACTTCCCCCCCTTAAAGAAAAGAAAAGAAAAAGAACAGGAAAAGTGATCAGCATGTAGGGTTTCTTTTCTAAGGAAGGAAAAGGATAACTTCTTGATTCCCATTAGTCACTTTACTCTGTTCTGGGTAACAGTGAGTAAGGAGGCCTTGGGCTGAGAGTGCATTGCACTGCCACTTCCTTTCCTGTCCTAAACTACTCTCGGCCCTGGGTCACTTGTTCTAAACTTCTACACAGCAGAGTCCTAGCAGTGTCTTTAAGGAGAACACGGGCTCCTAAATTCTAGAGTTAATTTCTTACGTTCCTTGTCAGAGTAGGGACTCAGTTCTAAATCCAGGTCACCAGCTTTTCCTTTTACCCACTCAGCTCCTGATACCCTGGCTCTGTGTATGCAATAATCCTCTAGAAGCTGGCTTAGCACGCGGTGTCACGGTTATTTCCTCTGGGGGGAGGGCAGGTTTCATACCTTGTATTTTTTAGTAGTCCATTCCTTGTGGGGAGCTGGTACAGGTACATACACATCCTAATTACTTTTTTGTTTTTGTTTTTTCTTGGTACCGGGGATAGAACTTGGGACCTTGCGCTTGTGAGGCAGGCAGTGGAACCACTGAGCTAAATCCGCAGCCCCCTAATTACTTTTTAAAAAACACCTTGCCTCTCCCTTCCCTCAAATCCCTTCCACCTCTTGCTCCTCTTTCCATTGGAGAAAGACCTATCTCCCTAGTTCCTATTACCTATCTTTTGATTTGCTCTTTTTTAAGATTTTGGGTTTGTCATATAAGAGAAACCATGCAATATTTAAACTTGTGTGTCTGGTTTATTTCACTTTATATCGTAGTCTCAAGGTGAATCCATTTTCCCACAAATGACTCAAGTTTATCCTTCTTTGTGGCAGAATAGTACTGCATTGTGTGTAAGTACCACATTTTCTTTATCATTTATTCATCTGTTGATGGACATATAGGCTGCTTCTGAGATTTAGTTATTATGAATTGTGCTGCTATAAACGTAGGTATGTATATATCACTATAATATGATGTCTTTAACTCTTTGGAGAAGATACACTGGCAATAGCTGGATTGAATGGAATTTCTAGTTTTAGTGTTTTGATAAATCTCCATATTGATTTCAACAGTGGTTGTACTAATTTACTTTCCCATGAACAATGTAGAAGGGTTCCTTTTTCCTCCCACCAGCATTTGTTATTTTTTGAGTCCATAATGATGGCCATTATTTCTGGGGTAAGATGGAATATCAGTGTTGTTTTAATTTGCATTTCTCTAATGGCCAGTGATGTTGGACATTTTTTCATGTATTTATGGCCATTTGTACTTTTTCCTCTGGGAAGTGTCTATTCATTTCAGTCTTGTATTTTGAGTGTCTAATTTTTTTCTTTTTTTTAGTTCTTTATAGTCTAGATTTTAGTTCCCTGTCTAATGAACAGCTGGCAATTTTTTTTCCCATTCTGTAGGTTATCTTTTCACTCTGTTGGTTGTTTCTTCTGCTGTGTATCAGTTATTTCTGCCTTGTTTCTCCTGCCAGAGTGTGTTTTCCTTGACCATTGGGACCAAATCTTTTATACACAATAAGCTGTCGATGGATTGAATGAATCAAAATACCTAACATTTGTTCAACCTATTATTATCCAGGCCATTTCTGTGAAGTGATCAGCAAGTAAAAGCCAATAAAGGTCAACTAGATTTGAATAGCAACTAGAACACTAATTTAAATAGTCTAGTAATTTTATTCCTATCTTCATTACTGATATTACCAGTAGAGTTTTTAGGTTCACTGTCCTAGGACAAGTTCACATTTTATTCTCTCCCACCTCCCCACACAGACAGAAATATCATTATTGGTTTTAGATGAAAAATGATGTCTATAAAATATTGGTGCAATAAGCCGAAAGTCAATGTGTTCTTGTAATTGTACTCCCAGAGATAAACATTAATTACCTACAGTATACTTTTCCAGACATTTGTGTTTGTTTAAATACATATTTAAAACACAGATTAGATCATTGTTTACATCTAATCCTGGAACCTAGTTTTTTAAAAAAATCTAACAAATACTCCAGTCATCTTCGTAGGTGTGAGACAGGGTATTATCACCTTCAGTTTCTGAGAGGGAAACAGCTCAAAGTCTCTATTGGCCTGGGGAAAAAATGTTTCAAAAAGTGAAAACTCCAACATTCCACTATTTAATTTCACCTTTCATTGAATTTGTGGCTTGCTCATTCCCACATCAAATGGCCAGCAGTCAGGACATTACTTGGCCTGTCCCAGTGAGTTCTTTACCTATTGTGTGTGATCCTGAAGACAGTTCTAAAATGAGATCAGGACTGATGGTCTATGTCCTTAACTCTGAAGCTCTCTGATTTCCACAACAATGGGATCAATTCATCTGACGAACTGTTAAATCACAGTTCTTAAATTTGTGATTTGATGATACAGGGACAGAAACAATAAACAGATAAGCATTGGTTACCAGCCACGGGAGGGGGCGTAGTGGGGAACAGACTAGGAGGGCTGATTAAGCCAGAAATCATCCTTTAGTCTCAAGAGGCAGCAGGAGGATCCATTACATCTGCTTCTCTGTGTCTGCCTTACTCTTCCTGTAGGTGCTAGCCAGGAAGCATTGATGTGGAACAGCTTTCAGTGCAAAACACTGACTACTTTAATGTCCTCAACTTTAAGGTTTTTATGCATGAAGTGTGGGAGGTATGGATACATTTTAGCTATTACCTTGGACAAGTCCCAGAATTGCTTAAACTTGGATCAGTAGAAGCAATGGTGAGAATTTCTGCCAAGTTTAAAAAAGTACTCTTACCCTCCTCTGCAAAGTGAAGATTCTGATCTACAACCAACTCTAGATTTTTTTCTTCGTTCTTCCTTAACTAAAACTTAAGCCTTCTTTGGCTTTAAGGTAAGATGAAAGGGAGAGAGGAAAATACACAATGAAATTTTATTTCCCTGGTGCTGCCTTTGAGGGATTCCCTCTGGCCTCCCTGGAAGTCTTTGACCGAGCGTCTGCTTTGAGAGCTTACATCTCTTCTTTCTCTCAGCACACTCTGGCTCACACATCTATGGCTTCAAAGACGTTGAATTTTGAATAAAGACTTTTGCTCAATTTTCCAATTGCTTGAGGGAGAAGTGTGGAATAGGAGAAGTGAGTGTTCAGGTCATTTGTTCGTTCTCTCTTTCATATTTCCACAAATGGCAACAGTGAAATATAGATGGTTAAAAACTGAAAAAATAGGGCTGGGGATTTAGATCAGTGGTGCTGCCACCTGGCTCACAAGCACAAGGTCTTGAGTTCGATCCCTGGTACCACAAACAAACAAATAAACCTGAAAGAACAACAAAAGAGAACTAAAAAGAAATGATATTCTTTCAATAAAGAAGATCTTGGCAGTGAAGCCTAATCCCAGTTCACATATCCCTAGGTAATCATGTATACATGTTTATATGTACATTGATCATATGTACTTATATGTGCAAAACTTATGGAAGGTATTATAACCATCTGTCTTACAAATACTCAGCATAGGTAATAACATTTCATAAAATGGATATTATTAGTAAATCAAATAAATGTCTTCTAATCAATATACATTAGAAAAATCACTACCAGAAATCTACATTCCCTAACCATGATTTTCTAACTTAAAAATTAAAGCCAAAATCTACATTTTCATTCTTTCTATTTACATGAAGCAGCAAAAGACTGTTACTATGTTTTCAGGCATTTCATTAAAAATAATATTTTAATGGAAATTACCAAAGCTTGAGATCGTCTCAGTTTTTTGCTTCTGGGATCGCACACATTCTATGAGATTTTTCTATACATTTCTTCAGTGTGATCAAAGGTTTTTAAAATAGATTCTAATGCCAATTCAGCATCAGAGTCTATTTCCATTCACTTCTGGTGTTTTGATATTATTTTTTAAAACTTGTTGGTTTGGTTCTTGCTGCGTTTTAAAAAATTACAAAATCCTAGCTCAGGATTGGTTCTTTTGCAGATACTGCCTTTGCAAGGGCTGCCAAACACCAGCAAAGAAGAAAAAGACTAAGCAAATAGTATCTTTTGATAATGGTACCAACTAAAGTTATTTTATAGAAAATGTTACTGGGAGTAAAATGCTCAAGATCAGCTTTTATGCCATTCATTAAAAAAACAAGCCCCTCAAAAAAGTCTTAGACCACTTTGAATTTGGATTCTGTAACACTTTGTATATAAACATTTATACATCAACATTTTATATGAGTGACATTTGTTTCCGTATTGACAGCTACATTATTTTAACAAAAATAAAAAAACTTTAAAAAAAATCAAAATGTGGGTTTTCCAAAGAGACTGAGCCCTGTGCTTTATTTCATCAAGAATCCAGACTATTGGGGGAGGAGGGAAAGGACAAACCTCCAAGTACAATTCATACTTTCAACATCAAAACAAGTTAATGTATTCCTCTGGCCAAGATAACTTTCTGGCTCTTGGTTTGTAGGTAACTTTTTATGAAGAGTAAGGAGAAAGGATAAGAGGGGAAATGGGGCTGTTTGGAATTGTGCAGCTTTGACTGGGATCCAGGGGGCATAAAATACTGTGTCAGAAAGAGCAAGAAGAGCAGAAGGTCTCCAGTCGAGGAATGTCAAGAAAGATCATGCCCTGGTAAACAAAAGGACAGACTGAGCTTGTGAGACCAAAGCAACCTTGAACTTCCAAGAACAACCCTAGGGAGCTCAAGAAATCAGAGGCAAGAGGGGCTGAAGAGATCTTCCAGTGTATCAGTGTCCTAATAGGGCATGGGCTTTGGTGCCAGGTGGAGTGGGGTCAGTCATAGGCTGTTTCCGTGGCCTTGAACTTTTCAGAGATTTGTTTTCTCATTAGAAAAGTGAAGGTAAGGGCCCTGACCCTGGGGTGGATGAGGTGCCTAACATAATCTGTATTTGTTACACACTGGGTGGGGCTTGGCAGGGGGTTGGTTTTCTTCCCCTTTTTAACCTCAGGAAATTTTTTGAATGTTTAAAAAAAATAATCATCTGACCTTCACTTGAGCTAGCACTACATTTTTCACTTTCCACTCATTCTCTCAATTTATCTGACCATACAAACCATGAAGGAAATCACTATTACCATCATTCTCCCTACGACAGGAGGATAAGATAATTTACTTAAAGACACAGTGCTGCTGAGTAGAAGAATTGTGATGCTCATCATGAACTCCAGAGACCAAAACTCTAGGGAATAGAAATTTGGAGTAAAGAGTGCATATGTATAGGAAATTCATTAACCATCCAGAGATTAAGATCTCTGTTAGCAAATCAGCATTTCATCATTGCAAAGTTTGATTGTGAACAATGCTGTGTGCTTGGCCTGAAATGGTTAAGCAGCTTCTAAACACATCCTTCTTGATTCACAGAAGGGCCTGACTCATTATTGAGTATCTTTTCCAGATCAAACGAGTTCTGCTGGCTGTGATGGGATCATCCACAGATTCCACAGGAATTACTGAAGAAGCAGTTATACATAGGAATTTGCTTTTTACGTGACTCCCCTTAGTAAATGATAAAGCATGTTTAACTTTATCCTACATAAGAAAAACCTTAGGCTGTTATCTTATAAACATCATGAGTAGTAATAGAAAAATATGGCACAATCAGGTTAGGAATACACATTTTATGTTAATCCCCAAGGCAATTCATGAGTCATGGGTGAGATGATGCATAACTTTCTTAGTTGAGTCTCTTAAAAGTTACTTCTGGTGACACTATAACAAGGAATCTGTGCTATACTTCATATAGACTCTTGAGCACTTAGAAAACACCTAGATCCGCCACAATTCTATTGCTGCTCCCAGAAATACAGGGAATAAAATCTGTCTTGTAAGAGAGTTGCTCCGGGTGGTCAGCAGGTTTTTTAGAATGAAGTCAGTGCAGAGGAAACCACACAGTCCAGCAGGCTATATAAAGAGGCTATGTTTATAGGAAGGATCAAATCAATCTCTTTTTCCCTGACTTGGATGAACCTGTCATCTCTGAAACCTGCCATGGTTGGGTTGTCTCACCCAACCATGTATTGGAAACTTAATCCCCACCTGAGCAGTACTGGGGGACGTGAAGAAGTGATTAGGTTGTGAAGGTGGGATGAATGGTTTAGAGCTCTTATCCCAGTAGAGGTTAGTTATCACCTTATCACCAAGAGGGTTCTTAATAAGAGGATATTGTGGGATGCCTCCCTTTTCCCCCTCTTCCTCTCTCCCTCTCCCTCTCTTCTTCTACCTTCCACCATGGGATGTCCCAGCAAGAAGGCTCTCGCCAGATGCTATTCCCTTGACCTTTCCAGCCTCTAAGAGTATGAGAAATACATTTCTTTTCTTTGTAAATTACAAGGAGGTCTGTGGTATTCTGTTATAACACCACAAAATGAACTAAAACACTTGCCCTCTACCACATCCTTCACATCTTAAACTTGAGACTCCATGCTCTTGAATTAATGAACTAATCCTCTGGGTCAAAGTAAAGAGATTATATTATCTAAGGAACTTTGTTTTTCTCATCAATCAAATATGTAGTAATTTACCTGTGTGCTAAAGATTTTCTAGCAAAGGTATCCAACTGCTAAGCAAATTCTTGAGACTGTTTCATAGCTTATGTCTTTAACAAAACAAAGTGTACAAACCCAGATTCCATTATGGAAAGGGAATAAGAAATGGGAGAGGAAAGGGGAAGTAAAATATTCTAATTAAGTTTTCTTTAAAAATAGAAATTTAATGGATATACTGTAAATTGGAAAATTCTCTGAATGTAGACCATAGGAATGTAGGCCAATAGGAAGAAATATTTAGTAACCTGATAAGGAATAAACTTAGTTGATGCAATTTATGTAATTGACAATTAAAACAACTTAATAATATTGTTACTCCTGGTTACAGGCCCATTAAGTGAGCTATACTAGGACACTGTGGATAAAATTGAGTATTAGAGTTCAAGAAAAGAAAACAAGAATTGTATCTAAGATTTCAATAAATGTAAAAAATATTTGCATTGTCCCAAGGAATTGTCATTATTCTTATATCAGTATATCATATTTGTCTATTTGTTTTTAGTAACTTTATATTTGAAAGCTTTTTAGGAAATTTGGTTAACTTAAAGGATACTGTGATATTCTTCAAATTAAATTTTGGTTCAATCTGATATGTTCAAAGAAAAATTAGGGGCCTAAATTATTTGAAAATGGCTATTTATTTTACAATATATAATGAATTTTAATTAAATGTAGCTCATAGATAGAGTTCAAAGAGAAAAGAGAAAGATTTGGAAAATAAAATTTTCAATGTATGACAAAAGGAATACCAGCATCCATAAATAGACTAAATGAAGTCCCATTTCTTTGAAAACCAAGTTCTCTGCAAATTACATCTTAATTTTTCCAGAAAGCTTCACTGAGATCCATTTGTCAGCCACAGATATGTGCATGTGTTAGCCCATTGTTGCAGGTGGTTCATTAGCTTATAGGTGGTGACATTATGATCCTAACTTCATTTGTGGGTGGTACAAGTAGAAGCTTGACATAACTTTGTCATTGTTCCTTTGTATGTTTGTCCTCTTTATGACACTCAATGAAACTTTGTGTCCCAGGAATGAATCAACTGGTCTGATAAAAATTATGCTTTCAAGTTGACTCCATTTTAGAGGCACCTAGCAGCATAGAGGAATTAATTTTGGATTCGGTTGCCCCACCTCATGGTCATCACCCTATGACCAAAAGGCCCCGTGTGAGCAGCTCTTGTAGAACATGCTGGTTGCAGGTTCCCACTAGCGTGTCTAGGCCAAGTGGAATTACTTGATCAGTGATCCTGAGCTTCCCATTGCTCAGAGAAGAGCATCAAGAAAAGTAGAAGAAAGAAGTTAAATCCCTGAAGCATTTAGTAATGTTCTTTATAGGGGTAAAAGATGAGGGGAGTTGAGGTTTTATGAAGTGCCTTTGTTCATTTATCAGGGCTGATTTATCCTTTCGACACACTAGGCATAGTGACAAGGGCCCAAATACTTTCAGCAGCCCACAAAAAAATTTTTGATCATTTTTAAACTTAGAGGAAAAAAATGAATATAGTATTTATATTGTATTGTAACATTATATTGTATGTTATAATGAACCCAACCTGGATTATAGTCATCTTTATTGTTGTTACACATAATTCTAGTATTTTTAATGGAGAAAGGGACTCACAAAGACAAAAGTGCCCAAGGCTCATGAAAGCCGTAATAAAGCTCTCATCTTAGGTATCTGATGTTTGTCTGAACCTTTGACATTTTCCTTCCATTAAGTATAAAGACAAGCTATAGCATCCATTCTCTATTTATGGATGTGTTCTATGTGAAACTAAATCAGTAGGTGTCACAAAAGAGGTGTTCTTAAAAGAAAACATGGATTTGTACTCTGAAGCTCTTTATAATCAAAGAGAGGAGGGGAAAAAAATCAACTCTTAACAACAGGTGCTTTGCAGTTGTTCATTCATTTGGACATTTCTTTAATGAGTTAATTACTCATAACTCCCTTGTGAACAATCTGCACATCTGGGAAAATAAAGCTGCCCACTGAAAGTGAATTACTAGAGCGTAGGTGAAACACAATAGTTAATTCATTTGGATACCCTTAAAAGGCTGAACAAAAATCCCTGAAGCACTTAGAAGTTGGGCTTCATGTCTGAAGAATGAGGTGGCATCGGCTGCAAACTGCAACCTGGGAATTCATGGCCTGAGTTCAGCAGCCAGTTCCCAGTACTTCCTTGGGTCACCCACTCTCTGATTTACATAGCCACCACCTCTCCCAGAGCTCTCCACTGGTCCAATAGCTTTGGCCTCATCTGCAAAATACTCTTCACTTGTTACATGTGTAAAGATTTTCTTTTCAATTTCAATTTGTTTGTGAAACCCAACCACACCAAGCCTCTGTTTGGCAAAACAAATCCCAAGCTTAATTTATTAGTATCATCCATGTATTCAGACTATAAATACACCAGAAGAGTTTATCAAGTCCTGAGACCTTTTGGAAATGAAGTTGCATCTGCTCAGTTGAAGGGTTGGATGGTATGATCTCTGAAATTCTCTCCAGCTGAATGGCACTGGGACCAGGCCCAAGGCCAGCCCACTCTGACCTGGTGTACAGCTCCTGTAGCAACCCTTCAAATGGATGATAAAGTACTACACAGAGCAGTGATCTTCAACAACAATCCATTGAGAGGTGAGAAAAAACATGAAAATGTTTCTTTGTACTTATATCTACCTCATTTTTTGATTTTTCTACCTTTGTGTGTATTTTTATAATATGTATAATATATACAACACATATATGAGCATATACATGTATACACACATATACATAGATAAATACACAAGATATTTTAGTACAGAGATGAATGTCCAAAATCTTAAAGCCCATGCTCATAAGGTAAGTTGAAAGGAGCAGAGAACAAATATGTCATCAATTGGTGGGAGATTTAGGACTTCCAATTAGAGCTTCATCTTTAGCACTATTTGGTTTATAAACATCTTGACAGGAGGCAAGTCAGTCTATTTTCTAATAGTTTGGGGAGAGGGAGATATACATCCCTTCGCCATTCCTTTATGTAGCAGTTCAACTGAATACCCTGGATCACTTGAAGGCATGAGAAAACTTTAGAAAAGGCTGCGAGCTGGGACTTTATCCTCATCCTGTAAGTTATAGAGTCCATTTTCTGAGTATAGCTTTATGTCTGAGATATTTGGAGCCTGATGTTGTGGGTAGCAGAGCATTTGACTTGTGAAATCTTTTTTCTGACTGATGTTCCAGGACTCAGACACTGCGCCAGAAACTCAGAGGCACCCATTACTTCACAACTCCTACTGAGATCCTCATTTAATAACTAAAAGTAGCATCAGTCGATTCCTTCAACGATAGTGTATATTCTAAAATGTATTTGTCTGTCCCTCAGATTTTAATTTATGCAGTCACTTGTTGGAGCTGTCCTGTAATTACCATTCTCACATTCAAACTGACAAATTACCACTTGGATACCATCATTTTATTTTCTCAATTAAATGTGAAAGTCCGCCTTGTAACTTTGTTCATTTTAAAGAGAAGCACCATCTACTTGAGATTCTTTGAATGTATTCTCAGATGCTTTCATTGAACATCTACTGAAGTAATGCAATTTCATATTGAGGGAGCTCATGCTTTGGGTCTGACTCCCATCTTTATGACTTGGAAGCTGTACGACTTTGAGCAAGTTATTTAGTCTTTCTGTGTCTCATTTTCATTCTCTGGTAAAACAGGATCAATTTCCTCTACACTTCATGGATTGCTGCAAGGATTAAATGAGATGCTATAAAATATTTAGCATAGTGTAACACGGCATGATAGCCAGTAAGCTTAGCAATTGCCATTGTTGTTACAAAAACACTTGGACATGGCCTTTAAATTGTTGAATTCTAAATAGCTAACTGGATAAAGCAGACCATTAAAGTATTACCTAAGTCAAGAATATGAACTCTCTCACGTTCCTTCAAATTCTTGGTCTGTCCAAACAAGACTGATGGAGGTGCTAGGTAAGTTCACCAGAGGAAGCCAACAAGAGGGAAGGGCAATAGAGAAAAATATTCATCAGGAATTTGAGTACTCTATGCAACAAAGGAGATGACTCTGTCATTAACTCACTGAAATCTTGCACAATCCACTTAAATCTTGGGTTTTATTTCAAATCTGCTCTATAGGGGTTTGGATGTGATGACATTTAACATTCTATAGTTACTGAATATTTATTGTAAAAATAATAACTTCATCATGGGAAATTCTATGAAGATATGTTTATTTCTTTGCTTCTCCTCTTGGGTATTTTGATACCTGGCTGTTTGTAAATAATTTGTGCATTGTTGTGAATCTTAATTTTCCTGTGTAAAAGTAAAAATTCAAATGAGCTGATTAATGTAAAATGTTTTTTAACCACTTGGAAGTCTTTATAGTTACTCCCTGTCATATAGGGATCATCAAAACTCATGCCTTTTAAGATTACATAAATTTTGGATTTTCAAATGAAATGAACCCTTCACAGAACAGAGATTAGAATTTTGAGGTCTTAATCCCAAGATCTGCTACCAAAAGCTCTCAGCACTTTAGAGGGAAAGACATCCTCTTGCTAGCTCTCTGCATCTCTTCTGAAATCAGGGCTCACCTGGTGAGGGCATTTAACCCTGGACCAACTCTGTCCATCTCTGGCTTCTTTTTTTTTTTAAAGTACTTATTAGGAAAACGTTCAAATAGTGAAAACAAAAAGTGTCCCCTTACGTATAACACACTAAAACTATTACTTTTTCCATGCTATTTTTCCAATCTTCAAAGCATAGCTATATCAACAGTGTGCAATTTTACAAGGTAATTCTTGGCACGATTGCATCATTTATCATAATATTTTTGCCTTCATAATTTTAATCAGTACTGGTCTTAGTTGCTGTATAATATTCCATTAGTTGAGACGAGAGAATTAACATTTATAGTCTATTATATTTTTGGCTTCTAACTTTTTGTTGAAATTGTAAAAAATTAAAATAAATTATGCCGAACATTTTCAAGTGTACACATATTTTCCTCTTTTGAATTACTTCTTTCAGGCAAATACTGGAAAGTGTAATTTTGGGATCAAATATTATTATTATTATTATTATTTTTTTTTTTTTTTGGTACCAGGGATCGAACTCGGGTCCTTGCGCTTGCAAAGCAGGCGGTGGAACCACTGAGCTAAATCCCTGGCCCATCAAATATTATTTTTATAGTTCCTGACATTTATTTCTAAACTTTTTTTTAAAGTAACATAGTCTTGTGTATTTATTTATTTGTTTGTTTGTTTTGAGACAGGATCTTGCTATTAGTTTAGGCTAGCCTTGAACTCACTATGTAGCCCAGGCTAGCCCCGAACTCACAGCAATCCCCTGTCTCAGCCTCCCAAGTGCTGAGATTACAGGTGTGCACCACCACACTTGGTTGGTAAACTATTTTAAAAATTGGGTCAGTTTGTAACCATTGCCAGGCTGTAGTTTGACTATTAAAAATTGTGAGCATAAGACAGAGTCCCATTTTAATTTTTGACTTTTTGTTAGTGATGATAAACATCTCCACATAAGCCTGGCATTTTTCAGAAGTGATAAAAGTAACATATTAAGTAGTTTGTGTTTAAATTTAAGGGGAGATGTGCTTTTGGAACGAGAGTGTACTGCACTCTAAAGTCATCTAAATGCAGGAGTGGATCCTTGGGTGCTTTTTTGCTGTCCAGTCAGTCCTCTGCCCAGACTCTTGTATTTACCATTGGGCAGTTTCCTAGTAGCTTCTGATTCAAGTGTGGGTGGTCCAATTGTGTAGCTGGCGTGGGAACAGAAGGGTAGATCTGTTCACTTGCCTGTCTTAAAGTTACCAACAATTCAGTCACTGAGGATTTTTAAAGTTCTGACCGAAGATCAATGCCCCATATTTATTTAACTAGCTGTGGACATAAATAAGTTTCTTGGTTAACAGAAAAATAATATCTCAATGTTGCTTTTGTGCCATGCACAAATTAAAACACAAAGAATGAAAACAAAAAAGGTAAATTATGTTCAGGAATATTTTGAAATACTTCTAAATCTCTGTCCTATTTCACCCATGCCACAAAAAAGTGTAAAAATAAAAAATCACTGTTGATCCATATTACTAGCAGCAAATATTTACCACTTTGGGGAATCTGGAAGATGGTATTGAGAAGCTTGTAGATGGTCACAGCTTCTCTGTGTATCTGTCTCCTTTTCTGTCCTCTTCAGAAACTATCAATTAGGCACTGTGTCTGGACATTTAACTAATTTTTAAAGACAGAAGATTTTTCTTGAAGAATAAGATTATAATTCAGTCTTCAGAATATGTCTGAAAATGGCTTTCAAAATATTTTTGATGGTTCTTGAAAACTGCTATCATCCTTAGTTAAAAGTTCCTTGAATTATACATAAAAGGGAAACTATGCTGTTCTAATGTACAACTTGTGCTTTTCTGTGTTTAACAAGAAAATGCATATTATTCCAGCTGCTACTAAGAGTTTCTAAACATCTCTGCAGACACATATCTACAAAAAAACCAACAGAAAAGGCTAGATACAATTTGTATTTCTTACTCCCATTTAAAGACCACAGATATTATTTTCCCTGTAGATTTTATGTCAACGAGTAAAACAAAAATCATGTGCCATTCTGCTTTGCTTACTTTTACTCTCTTGGATTGCTTTGAATCTCTGACACACTTCTATTCTGAAATACTTCAGCACTGACTTCCTTATTTGGTTGCTGGAACCGCTCTTTGTCTTGTTCAAACATTCTGCTAAGCTTGCAGCCTCCCTTCACTCCCCCTCCCAGCCCTTGCCCATGCCCCCCCCCCTTACACACACACACACACACACACACACACACGAGCATACATGGCTGGCTTCAACAGGTCACTGACTCAGCCTTCTCTGTCATTCATAAACCAATCACCCATCACTGATGCCCATTTAAGGATTACCTTTGGAAACCAGAATGGACCAGAGAGTTTTCAGCTCTTTGGAAAGGCTGCTCTCTTGCATACACTTGAAGTTACCACAAAGCATGTATTTTGCACAGATGGCCTCCTCATATGGCACAGCATGTATTTTAAAAAAAAGAAGAAGAAGAAGAAGAAGCAACAGCAACAAAAACACACTCCCTCCCAACAAAAATCCCCAACACAAAACTCCACGCTGCTTATTTAGTGGTTACTTTATTCCTCAGTGTTCTGGCACTTAGGAATTGGCTGACAGTGTGATTTTGTTTGGTTTTCAACTCTCTCCATTCTATGGCCCATGCCAAACACTACAATCTGGTATTTAAAGGAAATACATAACATAGACCTAAATGGATTTGCACAACACAGAAGCTCTGTGTTCCTAAGTGAAGTGCACACTTTCAGTAAATGTTGTTCCCTTTGCTCTCAGGAGTTGAAAACAGCCAGACATTTGAAGTGCTGAAGGTGAATTTCTGATTTCTCTGCTCAGCTGTGCATGCAGAAAGCTCAGCTCTCTGCATTCCCTATTTAAGAAAAGCTGCCACAGCCCCATCCTATAAAACAGAGCAGTGTTTTCTTACATATAAACAACCAAGAAATTCCTTGGAGAAGCACATAGCCTTTTGGTTCTTGGAAGAAAGTGGATGGTGGTATTTATTATGTCAAATAAACACATCATCCACACTCCAAAAGGAAACCTGAAACAATAAGCTGAACAAAGCAGTTTTCAAGAGTTTAATCCTTCTGCAATTAGTTCTTGTCTAACTCTACTGAAAAATTATGAAGTAGTTGTTTTTACGAAAGAAAATGCCCTTACGTGATTAAATTGCCACAGTTTGTTTCCAGCATTTGCTTTGAAAAAAGCAGAGCTCATTTCCAGAGGCAAGTAATATAAACATACAGGATATCCTATCACTTAATATTATTCTCATTTAGCCACAAAAATGGTCTATTCCTTCCTTTGTCCATTGTGCTAATTACTGGAGCCTTGTGATTTCAGGCACTAGGCTGGACGTTTCAACCTGATCACTACAAGCAGACCAAATTCTATAGAAAGCAGCTCCCTGCTTTGTTACCATTGAGTCAGTTTTGCTTATTTGTGTTTACCATGGAGACCAATGTGGAAATAGTGTTCAGCTTACAAAATTCCAAAAGTGTACTACCCTCTTTTATTTAGGAGACTTTTAGCCTGGCTTAGATGAATTTTTATTGAGAGAAGACTCAAATCCTTCTTGCATATAGCCAGGGGATAGATTACAAATATACTTTCCATTGGTTATAACTTCAGTGCGTCTGGATGTGCTTTACAGCATGGCATGTGGATTCAAAACTTGTTTAGGTTTTAGTGCACATGGGAGTGGTAAATTTTTGCACACTACTGTATTTAATTCTATCATAGGAACAGCAAGCAGTTCTGAAAGAAAATGATGGTAACCTACACCTGGAATATTGAAACATAGTCGTAAACACATGTCCATGAAAAATGAAAAATCAAAGCCCTTCTGACTGTTTTACATTAATGTTTACATTTGCTCACTCATCTTGTTTTGAGGAGAAAAGTGGCAACAGTCACTAACATTTAAAAATTCACTGTTTTATGGGAGAAGAACAAGTTGGAAAAAACTGTCTTTGTTCACTTTGAGCCTGGTATCCTGGGGAACATCACCAGAGAGCCGCTGGCATCAAGAAACTGGTCCAAGACTGGGCTTAGAGACCTGTATTCTCTTCATTTTTCTGCAAAGAGCTGTATCACTTTTGAGGGGTCATTTCATCTTATGAACCTTCCTTCCACATTTATAAAATTCAGGCCTCATTTTAAATCAGAATTCCCAAGTGACTAGGGCTCAACATTCCAAATAATCTTTTTTCCCCCCAGCACTGAACATTGAGCCCAAGACTGCGGTCTAGCCCCACCCCCTTTTAAATTGTTTAAAATTTTGGGACAGCATCTCACTAAGTCACTAAATTGCCCAGGCAGAGCTTACACTTGCTATCCTGCTCTAGATTCCCAGAGTGCTGAGATTACAGGTGTGTGGCACCATACCTGGCTTCCAAATAATCTTAACAAAAACTATTGCTCAACCCAAACCCTGTACATTATTACTTAATGGATTTTTACACTCATTCCCCTGTTTTTACAGTAGTCAAATTTGTTATGTAAATTAAAAGATTAGAGAAAAGATTAGGAACTGGTAGGTTAAAATGATTTTAAATAATTTCACCAAATCTAAACTCCTCAAAGCTTAGAAAGAAAAGGTTACTAGCTTTTAACTTTTTGGTTTATGGTCGTCATATTGATGAGTCCCACATTTGGCCAGAATTTTAGGCTGATTTAGACCCAACCTTTTTGAGACTGTTACAGAACTTCTTAAAAACGCTGATGAAACTTTTGTGTTGCTGATTCACCCCACACTTGGTCTTCTAAACTCCAAACTCACTTTAATTTGGTTCCTTCTGTGCCAGCTCCCCTGACCTCTGGGCCCAGGGACATTGTGAGGTTCCACCGGGAGGTGGATCTCAGAGGTAGAGGCAGGGATTGGGAAGAAGATTTCTGATACCAACATTATTTGGTCATCATAATAGCTTTCAAGGAGCTGAAGGAATGATTTGCTTTTGTTTATGGAGAAGTCACAATATTCTCTACATCTAGTTCACTGCCTAGATGGTAAATTGACTGTACTATTAAATTTTTGTTCTCAGTAGATTATAGCTGAAGCAGGAAAGCGCAAGGACCAGAGTTCGATCCCTAGTGCCAGACAAAAAATAACTGAAGCAGGAAAAGATTTCAAGGTAAACCCTTCTTTTATATTCCTTGTGTATCTAGGGAAGGGTTGGGCATGATGTCACAAGAAGAGCACTAAGCTGTGAATGTAAAGACAAATTCTGTCACTCTAGTCAAGCCAATAATGTTTCTTCATACTATCTATCCCCTCCTTAACTTCCACAGGCTTGAATCTTTTCTTGGAGTTACAATTATTTTGAGGGAAAAAAAGTGTCATCTGGATCTTCAAACATGAGGTAGGATTCCAGTTTATTATGTTTTTCAAAAGGATTTCCTTTTACAAAAGAAAAGAAATCCAGACTTAAAGAGCTCCAAAGAAGAGGAGCTTTTCTGCACTAGCATTCCAGCCATCTATTTGCCTTGGGGGAGGTCCCTCACCACTAGGCCCTGCATTCTTTCAGACAGCCTGGCATCCAGGCTGGTAAGTAGATGTAGGGGCTGGGAATCAGTATAGCTGAGAAAGAGGAAGAAGAGAAGCATGAAGAGAAGGGGTTGGGGAGAAGCTGGAATCAGTGCAATATGGGGGTTGGGAATTAGTACAACTTACAGTTTCACTCTACTTTCCATGCCCATTAGAATGCCTCTAATTTACTAATTTATACTCTAGGTTTTGATAAAGAGGGAAAATGGTTACTATGTGCTCCCCCATATTTGCTTCAAATGTGAAAAGAAATACACACATACACATGCACACACACACACGCACACGCATTTCACTCTAAAACTTTAAGTAAATGAATGCAACTGAAAGCTGATTCCTCATGTTTGACTCTGAATCTAAACACTCACCAAGGGGGCCTAACTGAGAATATGCCATGCTTATAATGTCTTCACATGAAATAGTCTTCATGACTACTAGGAAGAACTGCAGAAATATCCTCTGAGATGGAAAATCTTTGCAAACCACCAAGCAGGAGAGAGTGTAACTGAAATCATTACCAGCAATGTGTTGGAAATATATTCTTCCGACATCTGGCCATGACTCAGATTGCCATCCTGCATGATTCCTTGCTAAAATTCCTGCCAAACTCATTGTTCCATGGACACTGCCCTTCTTGTCTATTCTTCCAGATCAGTGGTATTTGACAGATTCTGTGACTAATTAGAAGGCATTTTCATGTACACAGTGCCCTTACAAGCCAACCTAAGCTAATTACCTTTGTGCAGTGGCAAACAGAAAGCAGTATTTTCTGCAAGTCCAGGATACCTCATACACATGGTCTGCACTGATTATTTTCCTATAGAGCTGGGTCCTGGACAAAGAGGGGCTGGAGGAATTACAGTTTGAGGTTAGTTTTCCTAGAACCAAGGTCTAGACTTTGTCTCACCAGTCTAATAGAACAAGCAGAGTTATAAAACCATTTACTGACATATACCTCATCAATCATCATAGTCACTCTCATCTCACACTCTAATTAATTGTTTGGAAAATTTTTATTTTTTGCTGTCTTATTTCCTGTTGCATATCCTTGGCTTTTTCCTTATTGTCAAGTAAACTTCCTGAAGCAACTGTATTGCAACCCTCTTTCATATCTCACTCAATAGATCTTCAGCAAGTAGATTAGGACTGTCATCTTTATCTAATATTTCTACTTGGTTTTCATACTTTCGTTTCACATCCTTAATGTTCAAAGCTGAACACGTCTTTTTCCCTTTGAAGCTTCCATAATATTCAATTTTTCTGTTTCTCTTCAATTCAATAAACATTTTTGTATACCTATTGGCTAAAATATACTCTCCTATTAATGACATAAAGGGTCAAGATATTCCTTTCCAAGCAGACATACACATAATTCTAATTCAAAATGACTAAGTGCTACTCTAAAAGAAAAGAAAAGGAGTGTATTGAGCTCAACATAGGTGTTATGGAACACTAGGGAAAGATCAAGATCAGGAGGGTATCCTGGAGAATGTATTTGGAGTGTCATATTATTTTCATATAAGGGGAACCAGACATCTAGCTAATTCTGTCTTTTGTGGATGCACACAGTAGTTTTCATTTGATTGTTTTTTGATTTTTTCCCCTCTAGTGCAAAGTTGATATCCTGAAAGATTCACTGTAAATAAATGCTGCTATCCTCTCCTATTCTCCTTAAGCCACCAAATCTCCTCTCATCTCTCAACACCTAGTTCATCTAGGAGATTGTCATCTGACTGAAGATTACTCAATTTTTTTTTGTCCTTAATTTCTGTTGTTTGAGAGGAAATACTCCATTTTCTCAAAAATGTTCATGGGTCCATAACTGTGTTTGCTTTCTTGAATTTTTTTCAAACCTTAAATCTCCTTCTTTAAAATCAATAGACAGCCTACAAATTTCTCTTACTTTAAGACCATTTGAACGTTCATGAGCCAACCATTCTTTCTCCTTCTCTTTCCCTTTCATCACTGGCTGTTTTAAAAAGCATTTATATACTCACTGTTGTCACATACTCTTCCCATTCTCTTCTTGACCTCTAACATTCTTACTTCTTCCCCTTGCATAGTACCACAACTGACCCAAAAAGGTCTTTAGTAGTTACCAAGCACCCAATCCAATGGCTTCTTCCTAACCCCCCCCCCCCTTAATCTTTAACCAGGTTAAGAACAACCCTGCTTTCCTTAGAAGCTGATCTCTACTGTTTGGCAAGATGTTGTTCTTCCAGCCTTGTTACTCTTTCTAATACCACTCTTTAGTTTTGTTCAATGACTACATTTTTTCTTCAGTCAGATTCTTAAATATACATGTTTCTCCAGTGTTTGTTGTTAGGTCTCCTCTTTTCCCATTCTAAAGACTCTGGAGTTCTCTTCCTCCATAGCTTTAACCTTACCTTGTAAGCTAAAATATGTCTGTAGTCTTAACCTCTCTGCTGAGTTCCAGAATTATCTTTCCAATCACATATTAGGCCTGTCCACCTGGATGTCTTCCATCACCTTGAACACAAGATCAAAATGGAACTTTGCTTTGATGCCATTTGAAGTGCTCTGGTCCAGCTCCCCACTACTCATTATTTGTACTATTATAATTACTTTCTAACTTTTCTCCCCCTCCCCCATACATCCTATACATAGCCACTTTCCTAAAATACAAATCTTATTTTAGAACTTCTGCTTCACATATAGGGCTGCCTAGATATTATAATCCTTCACTGAAAATGATAAAACTAAATGATAAATTATAAAAATAACTTTCTTAAGACATTGAAACACTGTCAAGAAGTATTTCAGGGACAAATTTAAATAAAGGGGGGAACACAAAGAGGTAAGAAGAACACTTAAAGCTAATTTACCCAGAGGTGTTCCAAAAGGGAGAAAATTAGCTTAGATTTCATGGTGTCATTAAAGACTCCAGGCTGGCCTACGATGAGGAATCTAACCAAAGGCCCCAGTAGGGTTGGGCCCCTTCACCAAGGACTCACAGTGTAAGGGTGAGGCTGATATTAAAGCTGCTGTCTCTGGATCACAAAGGAAGTTACCTTGGCATTCAGAAAAGCAGGCAGAAAACTCATCCTGAGAAACTGAAACTACAACTTCCAATAATTAAAAAACAAACAACAACCAAGAACGAACAAGCAAACAGCTCTCAACCCTTGAGTTTAGTTTCTAACAGTCCTACATCTGATTTCTTTAAACTTCTGGCAGAAGAAACAGATTCGGCAAGACTACACCTTCATTAAATGCCTTCAGGAATTCTCACAACTTTCCAGTAAAATTAATTAATTAAAATCACTAAGGTTACATAGAAATTGGGCACCATGAAAAAGAACCAGCAGAAATAACAAAAGACCAACAAAAAATTCCAACATGAGACTTAGACATAAGCCATGTTAAAATCATGCTGTGTTTAAAGAAATGAGGCAGTGTTTTTTCATTTCCTGGTTCAAAAGATCTTAGTTAAATCTCAGTACAAGTGCTTAGAACCCTCAGTTTATATAGCTTATATATTTCATGTTAAACTTGTCTGGATGTGCTTCAATTGTCTGCTCAGTTCCCAACACACAGGTCAAAATCTACTTCTGAACTCAACCTCTCAGAAGAAATCAATATATTTCTTATGTTCTCATAGGCTTATTGTGGTATATAGTAGTTGTATTATATTACAGATACATGCTTTGTTTCTCCCACTGACCTGTGAGCTGTTAAAATTCTAAGGTTTTTCTTCAAGTGCTTGTTGAACTAGGTTCAACTGAGTGTTGCTCACCTTGCTAAAAAGTTGCTCTGTTCCCAAATACTTGCAGCACAATGCAAAACTCTGCTATTCACAGTTTTTACTGGCTCCCCAAATCTTTATAAAACCTTCAGTTTTAGTTTCTTCACTGTCCCTTGCAAATTCCATGCTCATGTTTGTCTCCTAACTTTTACTTATGCTGTTATCAGAGTTACCTTACTTATCATGCTCTGCATGGCATCAGGCACTGAACTGCTGTTTAGTGCTGAGGTGAGGCTTGGTGAGGTGTGTACCGTGGCCACCAGTGCCCAGCACAACTTCAGGCATATGACCGGAACTCAACATTGAGTTTGCTGAAAGTGAAACTGGACATATGCATGTGTGCAAATATATACACTAACACATATATAAACAGTCACATACCGCATACATATGTCTTGTCAACCCAAGTAGGTTGTAAGCTCCAGGAAAATAAGAACAAATACCTTGTATAAAAAAATTTTGATATCTAACAGCTACTGGATACACATTATCCATGTAAAATTATCAGTTCTCTCAACTGGAAGCAGACCATTAACATTAAGTTTTTACTTAATTAGGAGCAAAAACTAAGTGAATAGCACTTGTCTCTATATTAAAATGATAGGACACTGAATCTCAAAGGACCACACAGTTAACATTTATTGGATATCTACTATGTTATGCTGGACACTGGGCCAGATGTAAGGAATATAAATATAATAACGAGATAAAAATTCCTGTCTGAAAGAGCTTTACATTCTAGAGCAGCAGAGATAAACCATAAATCCTGTAACACACCAGGAGGAAAAGAGATTGGAACAAAGCAGGTACCTAAGAGGGAAAACAGAGAGGCTTTGTGGGTCACAAAGAAGGTCTCTAAGGGACTGTTGAGTCAGTAGGAGGCAAAGGACAGGGGCCAGGGCATTCCAGCAGGGAAAGCACTGCACAGAGGCCCGAGCTAGGCAAGAACCTTGCATGCTTAGAACAGTGAAAAACAGTCTGCATGTAACTCCAAAGGGCACTGGATTAGAGAAAAGAGAAAAAAAAGGCTTTGGGCTTAAAGTGAGGGTGGAGGGGGTTGTCTTAAATATTTTCATTTTTCCTATTCTCATTTTTGTGTTCCCTTCCACCCAGTACCAGTGCTCAGGTCTCTGTCTCCCTGAGGAAAGGCTTTAAAGCAAAGCTTCCTTGTAGTCTCATTCTTTTACAAATCGGTTACTTCACACCTACGGGCTAGGAAGTACTTGCAGACCCATTCAACACAACCCATTAAATACGCAGCAGGGTGGATTTAGCCTCCTACCTCAAATTTCTGGCCCATGTGCTCATTTTGAAAAGTCTTATTTTGTATTTCTTTAAAAACTCTTAAAATGAGCAACTCCTGGTGTTTTCCTTCATAAGAAAATATACATCTACTCATGTTTATTCTGACTATTTGCAGTGTAAAGAACAGTTCCTTTTAGGACACTGACAAAGATATGATGCTGTGGACCATAAATATAATATTTGCCTAATTATGAACAATAGAAATCCTACCTTATGTGCATATTTAATAATAAGCCAGCTGTGAGTATGCGCCTCAGAAAAGAGAGAGGTATCTGTTACTGTTTAACCGTCACTGCCTTGAACTGCTGTCCCTGATGGCAGATGTTTGGTTATGGTCCCCACAGTTCTCATCACTAGGAACCAGAAACATCACACATGAACCAGAGCCACAGAGCCTTACAGTGAGAAGGAACTTCAATTAAAACTGTGGATTTTTTTTTTTTAAAAAGCCACCATGTCCAGAAAGATAAAAGTGTTGGAAATGTGGAGGTTGTCCCAAAATACATCACCTTCTAGTCCCTAGTCTGGCCTTTGACTATCACCAGATAGATAATAAAGCTACTGGAGTCTGGCTCCTGCCCACTTCGGGGCAAATATGTGAGGACCTTTCCTATGGGCTGCATGTGTTTCTGAGTTAATGTATTTCCAGTTCACTGTAGAAAGGAGCAACATACTTCCTACTTTTTCCTGAAAAATATTAACATACACTCTTCCCACACTGAGTAACAATGTAAGAAGTCCAGCCTGTTTAACCACTGTATAAGCTATGTACTGTAAGTGGAGAAGAAAGGATGACAGCATATCCCCAGCAGAGACGTGCCTGAACAGCATTCCCAGGAATTCTTCAGCCACAGGAAAAACAAGCAGCCCTCAGTCCTGCGCAGGGTGCAAATTAGCTTCCGCTGACAACAGGCTCTGTGCACCTTTCTGAGCCGAAGTCCTCTCCATGCCAAAGTCAACAGTGTGCTCTCTAATAACACTGAAGCTGTCCTTCAGACCCTCTCAGTCACGGCCCTCGAGAGTCATCAAGAAACTGTTTAAATTTCTGGGACAATTTTCAACCACCATAAAGAAGTTGGTAGCCCTGGATAAACCCAAAAGCACCTTCATAGGGCAGGGGGAGATTCTTTTGTGGGTCCTTATTGTTAAGTGGGATTGCTGGTTTGTGTTACTCCAACAATGATCTCTTGCTATGTGAAAATCTAGAATTTAGATCATGTAATATTTATGACAGATAAATGAAATAGTAGTTTTTCTAATTATTAGAGAATACCTCATCAATAACTTCTCAATTTTCGGGGCTACTGAACACTTCTTAAATGATGAATGCACAAAAGGAATAAAGTTATTGTGGTTGAGGCTGCTAGCTGCTAACTCAAGTCCATGTTCTCATTTTCCTCATGGACACGTAGCTAACCACTTGCAATTAGGACTCCCGCAAATCAAAATCTGTATATTCTGGTATTCCTACTTGATCTGGGGCCTTTGGGGGAGGGTCTCTCTCCCCTTCTTTGTCCTTTAAGTAATTGTTTTTAAAAATCTATCTGTGGGTATAGAAAGTTATTTACAGCTTAAAGAGTTGTAAAGCAAACACTAATAACCACCATCCAGGTCTGAAAATAGAAATGTGTACCCCAGGCCTGACTTGTAGAGTTCTCATTTGCTTAATTTTCTTCATAGTGTCACCCTCCTTGTATGCACCTCGGAATGATATGCTCTGCCTCTTCCCTTTTGTTTTTACTTTATATAAATGGAATCCCACTGTATGTATTCTTTTGTCTTGCTTCTTTGGTCCTATGTAAGATCCATCCATGTTGTTCTGTCTAGCTCTAGCTCATTTGTTTTAATTACTGAAGAACATTTATTGAATGACCGCTGCTCTTTCTGCGTTCCTTCTCCCACTGATGAACCTCTGGAACATTTCCAGTTTGGGGCTGCTCGGCACGTTCTGGTTACGTGTCTCTGAGTGCACAGTATGAGCATTTCTTTGAGGAACATACTTAAGAGTAGCATTTCTGGGTCATAGGGTTTGAAAAACATCTGGGTTTATCAGTGACGCCAGACTCTTTTTCAGTATTTTTTTTTTTAACCAATTTATACTCCCACTAGCAGTATAGGGAGCATCCTGTTACTTCATATCCTCACTAGAACTTGGTATTGTCAGACTTTAATTTTTGCCAATCACATGGGTGTATAATGGTATCTCTATTGTTTTAACTCATATTTTCTTTATTATTAATGAGGTTGGACATCTTTTCATGTTTATTGGAAATTTAAATTCCTTCTTTGGTGATGTGGCTGTTCTAGTCTTTCACTTATTTTTTAATTAACTGCTCATTTTTGATTAGTAGGAGTTATTTTTATTGGTTAGAATCTATATATTCTGGACCAGTGTTCTTTACATAAGTTGTACATATTTTCCACTCTGTGACTTGTGTTTTTACTCTTTATGGTGCCTTTTGATGATGAGAAATTCTTTCTTTATTTGAATGTATTTGAATTATCAAACTTTTCTTTTATGACCTTTTTAATATTTTGTTTAATCCACCTGGAATGGATTTTTGTGTATGGTACAAGGAAGAAATTTCTCCTTAAAACAGAAGCATAAAAGTTAGTATTATTAATAAAAGAGGTACTTTTAAAGCAAATGTTTTGTATTTTCCAGATCTGAAACCTTTATTACCAATATGAAGCCTGCTTTTGATAAGAGGCACATAGATCTTCATGCACCTTGTTTAGGAATAACAAAGTATCCAGGTGTTAATTCCCTTGGAAAGTAAGAAGATAAAAGTGCATATGCTCCATGTTGGGAATGTTGCCAAGGGTAGCCTATATAAGGACAGGAATACACACATGTGCACACACTACACATGTCATTATAGATTTATGGGCCCTTTCTGGAAAGATACATAAGAAGAAGTTATAGTAGCTACCTGTGAGGAATATAATATGTAAAAGTTCTGCCTCAAGGAAAATAACAATGTTTAAGGTAAGTTACCCTAGTACCTTAGTAGGAAAATTGAGTCAGATGTGCCAAAATTTATTTACATATGTTCTTTCAGGAATTCATCTATCAAACAGAAGTGTTGATTTTCAATTATTTTACATACCCCTTTTCACACACACAAAAATACTGGCTATTTAAGGAGTATAGGAATTATTGCAACCTATATCTCTATAGCAGGCAATTTGAATCATTGGAAGCTCTAAAAGGTTCGCCTTCACTGCTGTATAGAATTATGGGTATTCAAACTTTGTGGGAGACCAGGGGAGACCTGAGGCCTAATTGGCCCCCTCTGTGAGTACAAAGAAGAAAGGCTGCACTCAGGGGCAAATGCATACTGTCAGTTCTAGGGAAAAGTGAAGACAGCTAATACTAAGTTGTTTACCAGAGCATGTATAATGGATATTGCATAGCAAATGAATCCTGTGTTACTTTGATTGCTTGTACCTGTGTTTGGGTGAATAAAGGCAAGATGAGCCAGGCACTGGGGGCTCCTCTGCCTAGTAAGAGGCAAGAGCCCCCTGGCTGCCCACTTGTTGAACTGATTTTGTGTCTCTGTCATTCATCCTCCTTTGCCCCTGGGTCAGGCAAAACAAAGTAGCGGGTCTAGGTCCCCCACAAGTGGTCTCTGGATGGGGGAAGCTCCGAGGGGTGACCTGGCTCCCCATGGGTGGCACCTGGGGCAGGAGGGTTCTGAGATGGGCTTCGAAGGCCAGAGCTGTGGGTGGGTCGGCTACAAAACTTCTTCTAAGTTTGAATTCCAAATGTTACCCCTAAATTTCATTATCTGAATCAATGCACAATCTAGCACAAGTGATAAAAATATCTGCCTGTAAGTTCAAGCTGAGCAAGAATCATAGGACTTAAAGAATTTGTGTTAGAAATACTTTGTTACTAGACTTGGTTATCTTTCCAGGGACCTACCCTGCATGAAGCAAAAAACAGGTGTTTTCTCATTTTCTTCCTCCTATGTTTTTTGTTGAGCAATTGGCTGTAAAAGGAACTATGATTTTTCTCACAAATAAGTTAGTTTATTTCAAGTTTGATGAATGAGAACTAGCAATGAATTATCTTTAAGTGTTAGAGTCACAGCAAATAATTCAGAATATATACATTATATACATATATTACATTTCAGGAGATATCTACAGTGTGTGCTTTAGTAGAATAAAATCAATATGTATAGGATGGTGCTACTCTAAAAAATATGTATATTTATGCATTTAAAAAATTAAATGTGGGGGTAGGGCTGGGGTGTAGCTTGGTGGTAGAGAATGTTCTTAGCATGTGGGCATGCTGGGTATCAGTCCCCTGGGATTGATACCAAGCACCCCAACCCTCCAAACCTAAAAAAAAATGCAAAAAAAAACAAAGGAATAAAAAATTAAATCAGTGACTCTCTGTTACAGGAAATTTGTAATTTCCTTTTTAAACTTTTTAGTACTTTCCAATGTTTCGGCATCTATATCTCTCTATAGGAAAACAGATATAGGAAAAATAAGAAAATTTAACAAATGCCTTACATCTAGTCTCAAAAAGGTTTTGTTTCTAAACTAAGATTTACCAAAAATGAATACATTTTACTGTATTTTTGCAATTCAGAAGATGGCATTTGGAAATTTTTTTTTTTTGCACATTTGTAAGCGCTAAACTACCTTCTAATTTTTGGGGGAGGGGCAGTGTTGAGACAGGGCCTTGCTATGTAGTTCAGGCTGGCCTGGAACTCGCTACATAGATCAGGTTAGCCTCAAACTTGCAGTGATCCTCCTGTCTCAGCTTCCTGAGTGCTGCGATTACAGATATGGGCCACCATGTCCAGCCAACCATCTTTTTAAAATGAAAAGATTTATTTCTCATATTTTGTTCCTTTAAATATAGTTTAACTTTCTTCAAATGACTTTCTTTTTCAGAGGAGTTTACCAAGTTGTACCCTTAGCTTTTTTTTTTTGTTTTTTAATTAAATTCTTTTATTGGTACATTGTAGGTATACAACACAATTACATTTCTCATTGGGAATTGTACCTTTACATAATGCATCTTGGTT